CGCCAACACCTCTACCTCGATTTTCACGCCCCTCATTCGAATCATCTTCACAATATCAAACACGTCTACGATGTTATAATTGTAATAAGCCTGGTCACTTCGTCAGAGATTGTTGGAATCCAAAAAACTACTAATGGAGTCACATGATGGTAGTGCCTCCGATACCCTCAGTCCATCATTAATACACATCTCAACAGTAAGTAATCACAACAAAACATCGCTCCGAACCGAAGCATTTAAACAACACAATTATCGACGCCAAAACTCGATGTACTCTAAACCACACACACTATCATCATCATCTAATCCACATAATTGGTCTTTTAATCGCTCACGAATATTAAGAAACTATCCCAAAATTAACATAAATCCATCGTTAATATTTATTAACATCCTGATTAATGGTAAGCGAGTACGCACTATGGTTGATACTGGAGCGAGCCGATCTTTTATTACCCAACGACTACTCGGTACACTTCATCATTCACAAACTCATTCAACGAACAGCACAGCTCAATTAGGTGATGGACATACAAAAATTAAATTATTAGGTGAAGTACAGTTGACAATAAAAGTTAACCACGTCTTTACGACCATGAATGTATTAGTTGTTAAAACATTGAATGCAGATTTTATCCTTGGAGGAGATTGGTGTACAAAATATGGAGCAGAAATAAATTATGACACAAATCAAGTATCTATTCGTTCATCTGACGGCCGTACCTATACTAACTACGATAAACAAATCGATAACCTCACATTGAACGTTCAGCTGGTCAACTCTATTAAAATACCTTCACGAGAATCTTGCATTGTGCAAGCGAAACTCGAACTATCATCAGCCGATACTGTTTACATCCACCCCGATTTCGATATCCAACAAGACAAATCAATATTGATGTCATCTGCTCTCCTGCACATCCATAATTATACAACATTTTTGACAATATATAATTCAAGCGATTATACACGAACACTCTATATGAATTCCCTCTTGGGTCATGTTACACACACCCCGTCAAATATTGAATC